CTTGGTGACCCCATGGACTGCAGCACCCCAGGTTTCCCTGTCCATCACCAACTCCCGAGCTTGCTCAACTCATGTCCATCGAGTTGGTGATGCCATCCAACCATCTATCCTCTGTTGTTGCCTTTACTCCTGCCCTCAATCTTTCCCAGCATCAGGGTCTCTTCCAATGAGTCAGCTCTTGGAGTCAACGGATACTTGAAAAGAAAATCTAAAATTTTAATTTGTAGTAACTTGAAATTTCAAGTTGGCCTCAGATCAAGACAGAATTTTGAAAAAAATCCTCTTGTTCAGGCACTCATAGAGACTCATATAAAACCGTATAAGCCACAGACTATAGAACAAATGACAATCTGAGTTGGGAGGGTTCTTTGTTAAAATCAGTAGAATCAGGGACTTCCCTGGTGGTCCAGCGCTTAGGATTCTGTGTTTTCACTGCAGGGGCAAGGGTTCAATCCCTGGTCAGGGAACTAAGATCTCACATGCTGCCAGGTGAGGGCAAAATAAAATCAGCAGAAGAAGATTTTCCACAAAACTAATGGCACTTGTGAAGCTCCTATGAATGCTGGGTGTGGCATGGCTAGATAGAGCTTTCTGGTTGGAAAAAAGTTGCATTTCTATATAAGCAGTTGTGATGAATGATAAATTGCCTTAAAAAGAACTCAGAAGGGACTAACTCCAAGGCTAAAGTAATTTGCTATAAATTGCTTTTTAAAAAAAATTTTAATAAATATTTATTTTCATACCTAGTTGTATATTATCTAAAAGAAAGCCCCCAGAATTATATAATCTTCAAGCTTCCTTCAATACACACACACACACATATCTGAACCTTATTGCATAGTTTAGAAAATATTTAATAAGCAGATCCCGTTTTCTATCATTTAAAGAAAGGTTACAAGGAAACAAGATTTTATTTTCATTATGGGAAGAGGCTTGGTTCTGAATTACCAGTATTTCTGGTTTCAGAAAGCAAGCAAGCAAGCAAGTCAAAGTGGGAAAATATTGTGCATTCTGGCTGTGTCTAAATATTGTCTGTCACTTTAAATCAAGACCTTTCTAGGAGAAATGCCCCTCATTTGTAGCTTTCTCCTGTCCTGTCCATTGGTCCACCTAAGGCAGGAGCAAATTCCACTGTGAGCCAATCCTCCTAGGGACCAAAATGGCTCAGATCTTTTCTTACTGAAATGGGCAAGAGCAGAAACCAAGGCACCCAAAATCCTACAGTTAACCATTACATACCAAATTATGCCTTTATTTACATTGCAGTAAGCTGATATGTAGAACACAGTCTTATTTGACTTTTTGTAACCTCGTGAACTGCAGCACGCCAGGCTTCCCTGTCCTTCACTATCTCCTGGAGTTTGCTCAAATTCATGTCCATTGAGTCAGGTGATGCTATCCAACCATCTCATCCTCTGTTGCTCCCTTCTCCTCCTGCCCTCAATTTTTTCCCAGCATCAGGATCTTTTCCAATTAATCAGTAGGGACAGAATCACTTTCATTAAAAATGTTTGCTCCTTGGAAGAAAAGTTATGACCAACCTAGACAGCATATTAAAAAGTAGAGACATTACTTTGCCAACAAAGGTCCATCTAGTCAAAGCTATGGTTCTTCCAGTAGTCATGTATGGATGTGAGAGTTGGACTATAAAGAAAGCTGAGCACCGAAGAAGTGATGCTTTTGAACTGTGGTGTTGGAGAAGACTCTTGAGAGTCCCTTGGAGACTCTCCAGTCTCCAATCAAGATCTCCAGGAGATCGAACCAGTCCATCCTAAAGGAGATCAGTCCTGAATATTCATTGGAAGGACTGATGTTAAAGCTGAAACTCCAATACTTTGGCCACCTGATGCAAAGAACTGACTCATTTGAAAGGACCCTGATGCTGGGAAAGATTAAAGGTGAGAGGAGAAGGGGGTGACAGAGGATGAGATGGCTGGATGGCATCACCGACTCAATGGACATGAATTTGAGTAAACTTTAGGAGTTGGGATTGGACTGGGAGGCCTGGAGTGTGCTAACTGAATCACAGGGCTGAAAAGTGAAAGAAATCCCATCTGGACTAAAGGAAGATAGCCAGATGCTATCTAGTAAACATGCCACAGATTAGATAGGATTCCAGGCTACCTGGGATGTTCTGGGAACAAGGGCATCTGCTGCAGCCTCTCCCTTCTCTTATCAACACTCCACACCAGTCAGATCAAAAGCCCCCTCGGGGCGTATTGCAGTGATCTGCATTGCCAGAGTACTTCCTAAACTCCCCTCAGCTTTCAGGAGAGCTCTTCTGCCCCTTGATCAGTGGAAAAGCCTGTGGACGTGCCCCACACAGCTCGTGCTTGGGGAGCTGCTGGTCTGGGTTTAAGTCAAGACAGGACCCGTCTCATCGGGTTACTGCTAGAGGCCGTTCTGCACAAAAGGTGCACCTCCAGGACCCAGGATCCTAAAGGAAACCAACCCCGAAGGTCTGATGCTGAAGGTGAAGGTCCATTACTTTGGCTACTTGACATGAACAGCTGACTCACGGGAAAACGCCTGGATGCTGCGGAAGACTGAGGGCAGGAGGAGAACGGGGCAAAAGAGGATGAGATACTTGGATGGCATCACCCACTTGGTGGACATGAGTTTGAGCAAACTCCCAGAGATACTGGAGGATGGGGAAACCTGGCATGCTGCAGTCCATGGGGTCGAGGAGTCGGACTGAACAGCTGAACTGAACTGAACTGGGACCCACAGTAAATGCCTGTGGAGCGTCAGCTATTTTATTTTCCCCCCTTGGCTGGCAGCCCTTGTCCCAACAAATCTAAACCCAACCTCCTCTCAATCCCCAGACCTCATCCCACTCCCTGATCTCAAACAAGGGTTTCATCAGAACTCTAAGCAGCTCTTGTCTCTTGCAAGATTCATTAGTCACCATGTTGCCTGGTCTTAACCTCATTTTCATCTTACGGATCCTTCCATGGACTCGCTTGTCTCCCCTGATGGGCCATTTTAGCTTTTTCCATCTTTCCTGAAGCACAGGGCACAGTGGCTTGGCTATGGAAGGCTCCAAAAAGGCTGTGGTTTGATTTGATTCAAAAGGTTAACCATGGGAAGGACAGAGCGTGGGACTTTGGAATCTGAGTTGGGGCCGTTCCAATTATTTTGGTAGAGATCATCTGAAACTCTGACACTAGGCTGTGCAGATCCTCCTTGTGTGAGACTATGTATTTCTAACTTTATAGGGTGCCTGTGGTGCTAGAGAAAGATCAGAATTCCCACCAACTTCAAAAGCAGCTCCCTGCTTGCAGCAGCTCCGGAGGGGTGTTAAACACAAGGAGAAACAGGTTCCACATGTTAGACGAACCTCATCTCACCGCGGCAATGGCCAGTTTCCTTTCACAAGACTTTCCCCTTCATCTGTCTTTTTCACATTACATGTACACATCAGTTTACCATATGCCATCATTCTGTACATCCACAGCAGTTGTTAAATCATTCCTTTATGACTAAATGAAATGATGAGACAAGAAACAAGAACAGAGGAAGGTTCTTCTTCCCTTGCAAGAGCCTGACTTATCAAGGTGCTTGATTCTGACCCTAAGGTGTGGTCCCCATCCCCTCCATGGGCTGAAATCAAACCAGTGATAATGTGGTCTCACAGATTTGCTTTCCAATAACCACCCCTCTAGGATTTCTGGGATAAAGGTTATAATACATGCATATATTATAGTTGGGGCAAAGAGGTATGCACCCTGAAATATGTTGTTATTGTTCAGTTGTTAAGTCGTGTCTGACTCTTTGTGACCCCATGAACTATAGCACTCCAAGCTTCCCTGTCCCTCACCATCTCCCAGAGTTTGCTCAAGTTCTTGCCCATTGAGTTGATGATGCCATCCAACCATCTCATCCTCTGCCACCCTACTCTTTTGCCTTCAATCTTTCCCAGCATGAGGCTCTTTGCGAATGAGTCGGCTCTTCCCATCAGGGGGCCAAAGTATTGGAGCTTCAGCCTCAGATCTTCCAATGAATACTGAGGGTTGATTCCCTTTAAGATTGACTGCTTCGATCTCCTTGCTGTCCAAGGGACTCTCAAGAGTCTTCTCCAGCACCACAGTTCAAAAGTATCAATTTTTTGGCACTCAGCCTTCTTTGTCCATCCCTCACATCCGTACATGACTACTGGAAAAACCGTAGCTTTGACTATAAGGACTTTGTCTGCAAAGTGATGTCTTTGCTTTTTACTAGGCTGTCTAGGTTTGTCATAGCTTTCCTTCCAAGAAGCAAAAGTCGTCTTGAAATACACACTACCAGAAAGAATCCACCCGCCAGTTCAGAAGAAATGGGTTTGATCGATCCCCAATGCAAGAAGATCCCACATGCCACAGAGCAACTAAACCCATACACCACAACTACTGAAGCCTGTGTGCCCGAGAGGCAGTGCTCAACCAGCAAGAAAAACCACTGCAATGAGAAGCCCGTGCACCGCAACGAGAGAGAGGCGCTTGCTCACCAAAACTAGAGAAAAGCCCGTGCAACATCAAAGACCCAGCACAGCTGAAAATAAACAAATACAAAATACTTAAAATACATTAACAAAAAGAAAGCAATACAGACTACCAGAAAAATCTTCACAAGGGCAGTAGGCTACCCTAGAGTGAGAAATACTGACTCTTAAAGCAACCAAGACCCTAGCATTTTCAACAAGAATCCAATACCAGGCAAGTGGTTGGAACAAGGCAACGATAATAACAACAACCAAATCACAGTTTCAAGATAAGGATGCCTGAGAAAAATGAAAAAAAAAAAAAAGACTTCATTTCATTATAAGCACTGCTATAACCTCCTAGACCTAAATACAGGGGCTACAATGGATTGCTGTTGTTATCAGTATGATATTGACAATGTATAGTGACAGGTAACATGACAGGGCAAATTCTGCCTAGGTTGTTTTTAACTGTCCTCTGACAATTCCTTGTTTGCCTTGCATCCCCTGGCTCTACCCAGAGCCAGGCAAGGCGGCTTACCATCTGTGACAGCCACTTCCTCCTCTTGGCCATTCAGGGCTTCCTCCTGGAGGCCGAGCTCGCCTTGCTCAGCTAAGCTGTTGACAGTGGACAGCTGGCCATTCTTCTGCAGGAGCTACGGGGAAGAAAAAACCATGTAAACTTGATATCAATCTTCATGACCAAGTCAGAAACAAAACTGTAAGTTCAAAAATATAAATCAGTTAGAGGAAAAATGCAGAGAAATGGAGAGTTAGTGACAATGAAGATGTAAGTTTTTTTCCCCCCATTGGAATGATCCAGCTATCTTACAAAAGATACAGGGAGCTATGGGTCAGCAGATAGGGCTTTGTATCTGGATAAAGGTACACACCATTCACACATTCATTCATTCTTCTGGAAACCACTCATAGGCATGATACACATACCCATCATTCCAGGCCTACTTGAGATTTCACAGTGACTAAGTCAGGTGTGGTTCCAGATGCTTTGAGCTTACAAACTACCATGGAAGACATGCATGTGTGCATGCTAAGTTGTTTCAGTCATGTCTGACTCTGCAACCCTATGGACTATAGCCCACCAGGCTTCTCTGTCCATGGGATTCACCAGCCAAGAATACTGGAGTGGCTTGCCATTTCCTTCTCCCGGAGATCTTCCTGACTCAGGGATTGAACCCAGGTCTCCTGCTTTGCAGGCAGTCTTTACCACTGAACCACCAGGGAAACCCTGGAAGGCAGGGAAGGCAGACCTATGAAAGGCAGACCTTTGAAAAACTTTTTTTTTTTTACTTTAAAATAATGTTTCCTTGTGATTAGATGCAGTTTATGCATATTTGGCTGGAATATACCTAAGTGACAATGTGTCCTCAGAGAAGAGGGCAGACATTTAAATAAATAATTACTGAATTACAGCTATGGGAGCTATCATGTAGGGGGAATACATACAGCAAATGACGACAAACAGCAGGCCAGGACCTAGGCTGGGGCAGGGGGGTCGTTAAGGCTTCTCAAAGGAAAAAAGGGAAAGCTGAGTTCTAAGATGCCAGCAAGGGGTATGTGAACAAAAGGTAAAGGGGAGACAAGGGAGAAGGCCCTGTGGTTCAAAGGCTAGAGAACAAAGAAGAGACACCAGACATGGCTGCTCATGAGTCACTGTGCTAAAAATATTACCAAAATGCTCGCTTGCCATCATCCCCATATGGATAGCCCATGCACCACAATGAAGGACCCAGTGTGATGAAATGAAGATCCTGTGTGTTGCAACTAACCAAATAAATAAACACATACTTTTTAAAAATAAAGTTTTAAGCCAAATGAAAATTGCACAGTAACCATTAGGAACCTAAGGATTTCAACAATGCTTTTTTTTTCTCATCTGCCTTAAAACCAACTTGGGGGAACTCCCCAGCAGTACAGCAGTTAGACCTCAGCGCTTTCAGTGCCCAAGGTCCAGGTTCAATCCCCGGTCAGGGAACTCAGATCCCATAGGTCAAGGGTCAGCCAAACAACAACTTAGGGAGGTGCTACTGTTCCATTTTGGAGATGAGGACACTGAGGATCAAAGTGATTACAGAGGGGAAGGCTGGCTGACCACAGGTCTCACAGCTCAGCCACGGCCCAAAGACCAGGTTCACCACCAGCTACTTCCAGGGAATTTCCAACAACAAATTTTTGGAGGACCTGTTACCATGCACAATGACAAAATGCCTTAAAGAGTATCCCATAATACCCAGACCTGATTTCTCCAAAGAAATTTCAAAGCTGGTCACTCTGTATGCACCATTTCATGTTGCTTACAGGCCAATGGAGTACCCTGGCCAAATCACTGAATTCTATCAGAGTCTTGAAGGGACTGGGTCCAATTCAAGACAATCAATCCAGAAGGCCTGCACAGTGCTGAAATTGATTTCACCTGGCTGTTCCCTGCTCCCACCAAAGATGTCCTTCAACTGTGAGAGCTGCCTCCTGAAATAATATCACTGTACTTTAATGCTCTCACTACAGATGGGATCACTGGCTTCAAAATGCCCATGCTGAGTCCATGTATTAGACAGGATGCTCAGATTACATACCCACTTAGTCTTCTCTTACCAAAATATGAAAGATGGGAGTTTTAAATGAAACCTAAAGACGAAAGCACGGGGGGGGGGGGGGTCTCCACAACTCTCATCAGCGAAAACATGAGCATTTAAGAGTATTTTAACTAAATTCCACTAGGTCCTATGCACAAGTTAAATGTAGATTTCACTAATAATGTGATTAAAAGACAGTGGGGGAAAGCAAGAAATGCATATTATTGTGGGCTACACGGTCAACAACCAGGCTTCCCTGGTAGCTCAGATGGCAAAGAATCCACCTGCGGGAAACCTGGGTTCAATCTCTGGGTTGGGAAGATTCCCTGGAGAAGGGACAGGCTACCCACTCCAGTATTCTGGCCTGGAGAATCCCATGATCAGAAGAGCAGAGCATAGCACACGGTCAACCAATGAATCAAACCTAAAAAATGTTTAAATAGACACCATGACATAGCAACCTAAGTGGGGGAATAAGAGACAGTTATTCTAATATTCTAATATCTCACTTTAAAGGGAAAAGAACATTGGTTACCTGTGCTCCTAGTTTAAGATCCAGAACTCTGAAGTTTAAGATAAAGTCTAGAGTTCTACAGAGTTTCTATGAGTCTGAAAGATTTCTCATAATTCTTCGTGAACTGTCAAATTCAAGACATCTTCACAGGGAGCCAAACTGAGTATCTTTAAACTTGAGATTCTATAGGCACACATTTCATCTACTCTTAGAAATTTTACACATATATAAATGATGCACTGTAGATGATATAAAATAAAATGTGTCTTTGAGATCACCTGCCATCCTTCTTTATCATCAAGTGTGATAAGTAAATTGTGTGGATTTCTTATTTCCAGTGACCACAAGGCAACGGTCTCTATCTCAGAAAATCACTGACAACTTTGGTGACAATTTACAACAGTGACAGTACAGAACCTGAGTTTTGAGTTTCTTTTATTATATGTATAGCTTGGGTCCAGCAAGGGGGGGCGTTGTCTGGCATATTCAGAGCCAGCGCTCCACACAACGAAGGGACATCATTCCATCCAGCCATATTCAGACATGTTCACCACTCTGCATTTCACTTAAGAGATGCTTTTTACACAACCTCATGTGCTCTTACAGATGGACAAGTCACATTTTTGCAATTCAAAATATGTATATGTAATGTTTTTTATTTCTTTTTCTCCCATTCTCAACCAGCTAATAATTCATATTATCATGAAGGGTTCAGGCATTTCTGAGAGTTATCAGTATGTTAAAAATCACCTTGAATCACAAGAAATCAAACCCATGGATCTTTAATGTTTAAGTTCCTCCTGTCTTTTCTATGAGTGTTTACATGCACACAAGCTTTCTTTAAAGAAAAAAAAAAAAAGGATGGCTTTTCCCTGGTGGCTCAGTGGATAAGAATCCTCCCACCAATGCAGGAGACACTAATTCGATCCCTGAAGCAGGAAGATCCCACTTGCCAAGGAGCAACCAGGTCCACGCGCCACAGCTATCGAGCCTGTGCTCTAGAGGCCGGGAGCCAAAACTACTCAACCCACAGGATGCAACTAGTGAAGTCTGTGCACTCTACGGCCCATGCTCCAGAACATGAGAAGCCCCTGCAATGAGAAGCCGGTAACCGAAACTAGAAAGTAGCCCCCCAACTCACCGCAACTCCAGAAAGGCCAGCACGGAAGTGCAGACCCAGCACAGCCAAAAACAAATAAATAAAATTAATTGTTTTAATGGAGGATATATGCTTTTATAACCTGACTGCTTCATACATTGCAGGGGCATTTCTTTGTCACTGAACACACATCTGACTTGTCCTCGATCTTTCTTTTCTCTGTAACTCGAATGCGCACAGAAGACCAAGCTTTCGGTTAAACCCAAAGAAACCCCGAAAGATATACAGACACAAGTCAGTGATCCACACGGTGGGAAGGGCTGGAGCCAGATGAGATGGGAAGGGTATTTAAATCAGGGAGAAAAACGGGTGGGACTGAAGTTTTCAAACTCATTCACTCTGAAGCTTCCTCACATAGCTTTATCCATCCACCTAGTTCTTAACGTCTTTTGAGATGAGAACTGGACTTCAAAGGCATGCTCTTTGCACTAAAATACAGCTAGCACCAGAAAACTTATTTTCCCACTGGATTTGTGCTTCAAAAACTGTAAACGCCTCCTTTGAGCAAATCAAAACCCTAAATGTTTTCAAGCTTATATCCCTTGAGTGGGTCAGCCAGAGTTTATTCCCGTAAAGTATTACCACATTACAACTAAACAAGCTTTGAAAGAAAAAAAAAAAAATCCTGAATGCTTCCAACAACAGTGTTTTCCTCTCATTCCTCCAAGAACAACAACTGAAAATATCAAAATGGTAGCCAAGGCATGGATTTCCCAGGCAGCTCAGTAGTAAAGAATCCGCCTGCCAACGCAGGAGACGCAGGTTTGATCCCTGGGTTGGGGAGATCCCTTGGAGTAGGAAGTGGCCACTCACTCCAGGATTCTTGCCTGGAAAATTCCATAGACAGAGGAGCCTGGTGGGCTACAGTATAGGGGGCTACTAAGAGTTGGACATAACTGAGCATCAGCATGCAAAGGCATGGCAGAACAACTACACAAAGTTTCCACTCCCTTTCTTTCTCCATGGGATGGCCCACAGCTTGCCCTGAAAGCCCTGGCAGAGTACGCTGTAAGGGTGTCAAGCTCTTTAAAGAACATGTTGAACCATGAACAAGACAGATGAACTTTTGACAGCTATCAGGACACAGGAGCCTGTGAACCATCTCCTTCACAGGAGCGATGCTAGAGGCTCCACGTGGCTTCACGTTCTTCCTGGAAGTCCAGCACAGGTGGGAGTGGCTAGAATCCTACAGTCCACGCGGCAGAACAGGCTCTGGGCAGTACAATTGCTCCCAATAACGACAGCAAAACCCAAGGAGAACCATTACATGGCTGCAATCAGGAAAGAGCTAGAATCTTGTCAATATAAGGAGGACACATGCACAACGATAAAATACAAAATATAATCCGGAATATAATCTCATATAAATCTATGAGAATAAAAAAGATA